TTGGTTTTTAATGACTGGCTGTTGGTTCAAAAATCAAAAGAGAGAAACGTATAATGTTTCTTTGCTAATTAGATGCCTGCCTCTAGTAGTTTTCTTATTTTTAGCAATATTTGCACCAATTTAACACAAATCCGCTTGATCTGTAGTGATGCTGGTTTGTTTTCACAAGTAAGTAGGTCTGTTTCTATGCCTGCGGTTAAAGCATTTACCTGCTGTGAGACGATGTGAGTCTGTTAGGTAAAATTTTAACTCTGGTCTGTAATGAAAGACTGCTCTCTTTCAAGCAGCATGTGCATACCATGGTATATTAATAATATGTTGATCATTCTGTATCATATCAAAGTACAATGGTATTATTTGATAGCATCTGTATGCCTTGCTACTGCCACAGTACTTTTTTTTAAAGGATGCTCTCAAACTGCTGTTTAAAAGATGTAATTATCAGATGTGGCAAGTGGCTTTTGTTTCAGTTTAATCTTTAGCAATGTGCTTTATTATTATTGTAAATGTCAGATTCGTTTTGTAAAATGTCTGGAGTTTGTTATAATTTGCATCATCTCCTTTAAAACTTTGAGTGGTTACCGTAGAAACAGGCAAGGAAGGCTTTTGTCTTACAATATAATGCAGTTTATACTAGTGTTGGTCATTTGTGTTTGCCTATTAGTATGTACACACTTGAAACTATTTTAAAATAACTAATTATTTTAAATTAATAAAGTATTATTTGTAACCATAGTGTATTCATCATCTGTATACACACATGTATACAGGCATGTGAAAAAGAAAGGGCACCCTATTGAATTCTATGGTTTTATGTATCGGGACATTAAAAAAAATCATATGGTTCTTGACAGGTCTTAAAATGAGGTGAATACAACCTCAAATGAACAACATATTACCCATTATTAGCCCATTATCATTATTTATTTAACAATACTAGGCCAAAATGCAGAAGCCAAGGGTGACAAAGAAAGTACGTCCTTACTGCTTCCATAGGAATAAAGAGGGTAGCAGTTGAATGCTGCTAATCAAATGCCTTTGATTACCTGATCATCAGCAAGTGCAATCACCTCTATAAAAGTAGACGTTTTGGCAGTTCACTGGTCTGGAGCATTCAGGTGTGTGTTAACACAGTGCCAAGGGGGAAAGACATCAGCAATGATCTTAGAGAAGCAATTGGTGCTGCCAATCTAGGAAGGGTTACGAGGCAATTTCCAGACAATTTGAAGTCCATTATTCTACAGTAAGATTATTTACAAGTGGAAAACATTCAAGACAGTTGCCAATCTTCCCAGGAGTGGGCGTCCAAGCAAATTCACCCCAAGGTCAGACCATGCAAAAAATCTCAAAACAGCTACTGTATAAACTCTACAGGCCTCAGTTAACATGTTAAATGTTAAAGTTCAGGGCAGTACCATTAGAAAAAGACGGGACAAGTATTGTTTGTTGCATCTGAACAAACCACAAGACTTCTGGAACAATGTCCTTTGGCAGACGAGACCAAAGTCGAAATGTTTGGCCATAATGCACTGTGCCGCCAATACAAGTTAGGTGAAAACTAAACACAGCATGTTAGCTCATACCAGCTGTCCATCACGCTGTTGGAGGGTTGATGCTTTTTGGCTTGTTTTGCAGCTAAAGGACCTGTTGGGAACCTTGCAGTCTTTGAGTCGGCCATGAACTCCTCTGTTTACCAAAGTATTCTAGAGTCAAATGTGAATCCATCTGTCTGACTGCTCATATTGGGTCATGAAACAGGACAATGATTCCAAGCACCAGGGTTGGGTATCGAGAATCGAGTATCGATTTGAACTGAGACTAACTTTTCGTTTTTCCCGGAATCGTTCAAAAGTTAAAATTTCGATTCCTAGTTTCGATATTCACAGTCCGCCGAGCGGAAGAAGAAACCGCTGAACAACACCAACGAAGAGAAGCGTCTACCGAAAGTGTTGGCATAACCACGCGAACATGAGTACCTTACGTCGGCGATCCAAAGTGTGGCTTCACTTTTCTAAAAATAACGAAATCTCGGCAAAATGCAAAATTTGTGACAAAAGGAGTATTTTTACAGAAGGAGTATTTCCTTCAGAAAGGATTATTTCCTTCAGAAAGGCCGTTGGTTAGCAAGGTTAGCTAAACTTTTTTGACCCTGCCTCTTAAAAGAATCAGAATCGAGAATCGTTAGGAACCGGAATCGAAACAAGGAATCGGAATCGGAATCAGAATCGTTCAAATTCAAACGATACCCAACCCTACCAAGCACACTAGCAAATCTACAATAGAATGGACTGGGCCAGTCAAAGTCTAGACCTTAACCCGACTGAAAAGTTTTCAACGTTTTCTTAAAGGGATACTCCACTTTTTTTTGGAAATAGGCTCATTTTACCACTCCTCCAGAGTTAAACAGTCGAGTTTTACCGTTTTCGAATCCATTCAGCCGATTTTCTGATATTTAGAAGAATATCAGTAACTGGACAGTTTCTGGTCTCATTGACTTCCATAGTATATACTATGGAAGTCAATGAGACCAGAAACTGTCTGGTTACTGATATTCTTCTAAATATCAGAAAATCGGCTGAATGGATTCGAAAACGGTAAAACTCGACTGTTTAACTCTGGGGGAGTTGTAAAATGAGCCAAAAAGTGGAGTATCCCTTTAACATTGCAACATTGCATATCTAATCATCTCCTGACGAACACATTAATTATTATTTGGATTATCACCAATTAAACACAATTAGTGAGTCACTTAACCATGCATAATGGTTATGTAACATTTAATGCACTTCATGTTGTTGATAACATGGAATATATTTTCTTTCTCTTTGTATTTTTATATCAATATGGTACAAGATTATACTATTTAAATCAATGTGATAAATGAGTTCAAAAATTTATCTGAAAAGTAGTCAAAACATTACCTAAAATGAGTAGAGTAGCCTACTAGACAAATGGGATATAAGCAAAAACAAATTTTTTCCCCTTTTTACTCATTTTGTGAGACTCTCTCATACACTTTGAATATCAGAGCTTGTTGAATGTGATATTTTTAGGGCTGTCAAACGATTAATCGCGATTAATTGCATCCAAAATAAAAGTTTGTGTTTACATAATATATGTGGGTGTACTGCGTATAATTATTTTGTATACATATATAAATACACACACATGCATGTATATTTAAGAAAAAAAATTATTTATATATAAAATTTTGATATTTATATATAATATAAATTATATATAAATCTATATACAGTATATACATGAAAATATTTCTTAGACCTATACAAACGTGTGTGTATTTATATATTCAAAATAATTATACACAGTGCACCTACATCTATTATGTAAACACAAACTTTTATTTTGGAGGTTGACAGCCCTAGATATTTTATGATGGATTTTAATACTTTGAGATTGAAAAGTTTGGAACTGAGGCAAGAGTAAAACAAGCAAAGGTAAAAGGTAAAAAGTTGGCTTCATATAACAAAAAGTTGAAATTAGTTTTGATACAAATCAACCAATGGGGCATTACAGTGCCCTTAGTTGGAGAAACACTTGTATACAGTAATTATACTCTTTTTTTCTCTCAAGATCACTTGTGTTTCAATAGAGGTCCAGCACTCCAGAACTGAGATCATATCGAAGATGTAATCTAATTTGGAACACTGTGTACATCCTTGCTCCACCTGTAGGACGCAGCCGAGCAGAATGCAGAGGCCACAATAGAGATACACTCGCATTCGTATTTGATATAAGCCTCATGGAATGCACATTGACAGAGGCTGCCATCAGAAATCTCAAGTGAATATATGAGTGGATGCAATCAAATACAGAAATCTGGTTATGAACGCAAGGCTCCACATATTTCAGACAGTATTTTATGCTTTTAGGATAAGGCAGAGCACTAGAGCAGATTGTCCTGTTTGTGTGTGTGCATGCGTATTTGTCCTCATAACTCCCTGTTAATCATAAACAAATGGAGTATAATTGAGCGTAGACAATCTGATGAATGGTCTTTTGAACTAGCAGTGCTGTGGGAAGCAAATGCAATTATTGTTTTACAAGTCTCCATTTAGGTTTTATCAGATCTCTTCCATTTGAGCGATGACAGAAGACATTTCAAAATCTTCAAATTCTATCAGATTTATCTTTTGTTTTAGCATTTAGGATTTATATGTTAAATAATGATCCCAGGTTTTTTTTAACTTCCATGGAAATTTTGGTTTGGTTTTGCATCTGCGCTTGCTAAAAATTCATAAAGTCACTATAATGTTCAAAAGTGTACTGTAGGTCAGCTAGATTTTTAAAATGTTTTTGAAAGAAGTATTTTAAGCATATTAGAATGTTTTTTGAAGTATCATGTGACACTGAAGACTGGAGCAATGAAAATTCAACTTTGCATCATAGAAATAAATTATATTTTAAAGTATAGTCAAATAAATATTTCACAATATTTTGATCAAATAAATGCAAGCTTGATGAGCTTAAGAAAATTTCAAAAACATTAAAAATGTTTTTTTCCAAAAATGTTTCCAAACATTTAACTATATATATATATATATATATATATATATATTATAAGTATATATGTATATATTATACATTACTTGTACAATCCCTGATATGTGCAAACATCTAACCAAAAATCTGTTTAATTCCATATTAATGCATATTAATTATTGGTAATCATAAACAACCTTTGTTAATCCAAGTAATAGTTAATGATTGATGATAAAAGTATTTATTATTGAACATTTGTGTCTATTGTCATATTGCTGTTGCCACAGTTTTGCTTAACCACGATAAAAGTCACTGTATGGCTTCTTGTTTTTAAATTTTGCAGCTCATCCAGTCAGGGTTGGGACCTGGAATTATAAAACCTCTTTTATGCGCTTTATGAAAGAGATTTTAAGGTTTATAACAGTCTTGGTGTTTTAATACCTCGTAATCCATGTTTACAAGCTTTAATTCTATTTTCTTGTGTTTATCTATTCCAGATACTCTGTCCGTTCCCCGCTGGTCCCCTCAGATACCTCGTAGAGACTTTGGCAACTCCATAAAACACAGGTGAGTTTTGTGCATGCATGAGTGTGTGGTAGTAGTTACAATATGTCAAGCCAATTAACTCATGTGGTTATGCAGCTCCAGTCATGCCTGCTCACATCTGACGACTCGATTACCCCAAGTACCACTGATCCCAAGTCAAACAAAGAGCCGGCGTTTGTGCTTATACCACAAACCACTGAAGATTTTGTGATGCAAGTTATAGGGCCCTATTTTATCAATCTAAGCGCATGGTCTAAAGCACACGGCGCAAGTGCACTTAGCTAGAAAAATGGTCTAAAGTTATGTCCCTCTTCTCTTAATGAGTAATGATGTGTTTCGGCCGTAACATGCAATAAACCAATCAGTCTCATCTCCCGTTCCCTTTAAAAGCCAGTTGCGCTCACTCCATGGTGGATTCACTATTTACATGGCGGGATTTGCACATCTTGTTTTAAGGCCGGCACGCCCATGGGACGTGAAAATGATAACTACGTCGGGCTGAAAAAAGCAAAAAAACACTTTTGTTGTGCCTGGCGTTGCATTGCGCCAACTGTATGATAGGGATCATAAAGTTTATAATAAGATCTTGCCATGGCTTAGCCATCAAAAGACATGCAAAGTTCACCAAGGCTTAAAAATACCTTGTTTTTAACGTCTCCTTTTCTCTGCACTCCAAATGGGATAAATCCGACTTCGAGGGGCATTCCAGAGTGAGAGCAATCATGGCCGCCATATTGAAGGCCCTGTTCCAAATGGCACACTTCATAATCACTTACAAATGTGACACACTATAGTCTTATATACATGGACGATCACGTGGCCAGTCCATTGGAAGTCCAGAAGACCCTAGAGTGTCCCATTTGTCATTTTAGGATTCAGAAGGGTCACTTTTGTCGTGCCCTCACAGATGTGAGCTTCACAGTAGACTTCTACTCAACAGTCAAAGTGCTGTTACGTCACGGAAGTGCAAACTGTTTAGGATGCCATTTGGGACAGGGCCAGAATCAAAGGGTATAACATTTGTGCGACTACGGTGCCTCCTCATTTAGCTTGGCAAGATGGCGCAGAAGTTTTGGTGCTCTACACCCTTCATCCCTTCGAAGGCCTCACATATTAGGGCATTGGGATGAGCCCTTCAGAATGGACTGCAGGTGTGAAAATGAATGTCAACATAGATGGACAACTGCCACAGTTTCAGATAAACAGATCCAAAAAATTGAAACGCTCATGTCAACTTTAAACTGAGATGGCTACGGTGATGTGAGCTGCGTACTAAAGCCAGCCTCCTCTTTTATGAGACAGCGCGGCTTCAATCTAATGAAGACACTTTGACACTGTCAGAACCCATTAGTCATATTCTATTAACTGTCAGCTTCTGTTCATATCAGAGAAATAGATTGGCAAATGCACAGTGACCCTTCAGAGGAACTCCATTGCAGGAGATTTGAATGGCCCTTTCATTGTGGAGAACGGCGACATGTAAACAAAAAGAGATAGAGAGAGAATAAATGAAGAAAATATAGAGCGCTTGCTGAACAATGGCCAATGCATCCATATGGCCTTTGTCCTCACGTATATTTGTCAAGTGCGGATGCTCAGTTAAGCGCAAAGGAGATATTGAGAGCTACTATTAAATTACTCTGATTTGAGAATTACTGGCGAAGTGTCTCTCTTTGGGCATTTGCTGCACATATCTGTCTCTCGATGAAAAGGTTACTTGGCAAACGTGATCACTGCAGTGACACATTCGCTCTTTTATCTGAAGAGTTTAGGAGTGGTTGTCAAAGGTCAGAACCATCTGTCGATAGTTTGACAGCGAAGCAAAACAAACCCATATGGCCTCATGCATTTTAAAAATGGATGAAATTAGATTCTAAAAAAGGGTCAGTAATGAATTGCGTCACTCGTTTGTGCTTCCGCAGGTTTTCCACGAAGTATTGGATGTCGCAGACGTGTATCGTGTGCGGTAAAGGAATGCTATTCGGCTTGAAATGCAAAAACTGCAAGTAAGTGCTTAAATGCCACACAAAAAAAATTTAAAATCATGCTTTTCTTAATCGTAAGCATGACATAACAATGTGAAATTATGAGATGCTGAGTCATAATTGTGTGATTCAAAAGTAGACATTTACCAAAATTATGAGATGCTATGTCATAATTATGTGATAAAAAGTAGAAAGTATGACATAAAAGGTCAACATTGAGATAAAAAGTCATAAAATGTAAATGATGAGATAAGTTATTATGGACAAAAAGCTATTGTGACTTTTTGTTTCACAATAAATAGTTAGAATTGATTTTTGACTTTTTGGTAAATTGATTTATCAATCAATTTAAAAGATTTTTATCTCATAATTCTTTATTCTCGATATTTAATGAGTTCATTCTCAAGATTGTATTTCGATTTTTTTTCTCGAAATTTAACAAAAAATTTTCTCGAAACACAACAACTTTATTCTCAAGATTGTATTATGACTTTTTCTCTCGAAATTTAACACGTTTTTTTTTTTTTTTCCCCGAAACACAATGACTTTATTCTTAGTATTTAAGGAGTTTATTCTCAAGATTGTATTACGACTATTTTCTTGAAATTTAACGAGTTTAATCTCTGGTTGTGATGAGTTTTGCATGGGCAAACCACCACTTAGGTTTTCTTTAAGATAAAAAGATAATAAAATCAAGTAATTTTTGCAATTCTGTCTGTTTTTTGCAATCGCTTCTGATGCAGAAATTACACGCTGAATCTCTGCACATCATGTGTAGGCCATAAATGTCAAATGTTAAATATAAACTCCACTATTTATTGCCATTTCTTAAACCATCTCTTATGATCATACACATCTCTGAAAAAGAAAATTCATAGCATTTCAGCTTTGTAAAGATGTGATTTGATGTTTTGGTTGTCATCAAAGCCTCTTTTAGAATTCAGTGCGAGACATTTTGTTCCTGCAGTAGTGTCAGTAGAACATTCAAATTGAGCATAATTATCATTATCATTAAAAGATTATTTGAATAAATTACTTTCCTAATAGTTTCCACTCTACCACCCTTGACTATGGCATCTTGTTACTAAGATACTTGCTGGCTTTTGACACCTTCCAAATGATGGCTGCATATTAAGTGTTTGTTTTGAATATTCATTGATTTGCTTTTACAAGAGCAAACTAATAAACATTTCTGTCATGCTTTCTTTCACCAGATTGAAGTGCCACAACAAATGCACCAAAGAAGCACCGCCCTGTCATTTACTCATATACCACAGAGGAGGTAGGGAATCATTCAGAGGTATTTAAACTTTTATGTTTTCTTCTTTTTCTGTTAACTCCATGAATGAATGCTAAAATCCATTGTACTACACAAGGCAGGCCATTAATTATGGTTCAAATGTGATTTCAGAAACAGCAATGTTCCTATACACAGCATGTTTTCAACCTCATAATTCCTTAATATTCAATTGAACATATTTAATTACATGCTTTATCTGTCTAAAGAAAAACGTTGCATTTTGAAAATTGGTTCCCAAACAAGAGAATGTGTTTTAAGGGAATAATTCTGGGAACAATGAAGAAGGTTTTTTTTTTTTAAAGACTGTCATAGTGGCTTCACATCTGCCTTGCATTAATGTACTAAACAATTTGTCTTGTTCTCTGTGAAGCATTATGTTTAACCTTCAGACTGCAGCCTCCTTACCATTTTTTTCTCTTTCTTTCTTTTTCTCCAACTGTGTGCTGTTTTCACCACCTCATCTTTCTCTCATTTGTAATGTTGCAGATCAAGGAACATCTCAAGGTGAGAGAGCAGGTTTGTGCCCCTTAAGCACATTATTTCCTTTTTCATACCTTCAGGTTTGTTTTGCCGATGTCGTATGAATATGTACACGACCAATCAAAAGTTTGTTGTTTGTAAGATTTTTTTATGTTTTTGAAAGAAGTCTCTTCTGCTCAACAAGGCTACATTTATCTGATCAAAAATGATTATTACAATTTTCAATTATAACATATTTATAAAATAGAATTGATTCCTGTCATGTCAAAACTGAATTTTCAGCCTCATTCCTCTTCAGTGTGACATGATCCTTCAGAAATTATTTTAATATGCTGATTTGTTGTTGTTTTTTTGTGTGTTTTTTTTACTATTATTAATGTTAAAAACAGTTGCGTTGCTTAACATTTTTTGTGGAAACCTTGATACATTTTTTCAGGTTTCTTCTCAATCAAAAGAACCGCATTTATTTGATTTAGAAATCTTTTATTTTTAACATTATAAATGCCTTTAACTGTCATTGTTGATCAATTTGATGTGTTCTCGCTGAATAAAAGTACTTATTTCTTAAAGAAAAAAATCATACTGACCCCATTCTTTCGAGAGGTAATGTATATCAATATATTACAGTATATGAATACATGAATATAGCATAGCAAATATGTTAACCCAATTTTAAAATACTTTCTTCTTTCTGCTATACTTTGAAAAAAGTGAACAGTGATTTTTTATATGCCCTGGTCGTCGCTGTGATATTTCTGATAGATACTGTACATAATGCATGGGTTAGTGGCTCTTCCATTAAAATGTGACAAGACTTTTCAGAGTTTTTCTGTTACCGTGACAACTGCCTCTTGTTACCGTGGATACTATGCTGTTTCTCTCGCTCTCTCTCTTAGCTCGTCAGCTCGTCAGGACCGAGTCGGTACCATGTGACATAAACAACCCCCTCAGGTACTTAGACCTCCACATTAGCCAGACTCTCCCCAAGACCAACAAAATCAACAAGGTAAGAATAGTTACGTATTACATCTAAGCAAACACATCTCAACACTGTTACATCCCTCCACTGTCAACATTATTACAAAACTATCTTGGCTAGACTGGCACTACATGTCCTTCCTGCAATTTTCAACACATTTGCTTTTGCTTTTTCTTGAAATAAGTTGCATCAAAAGCCATTTTTGCAGACCAAAACCAAACAACCTTCCTGTAGTTTTCCACACAACTGGTTTTCGCATATGTGTATTGGAATACAAAGCACGACTATGAGCGTGACATTTTTAAGACAAGTATATGTTTTAAAAACGTGTCTTGAGAACCCCGTGTTCAATTCCATTCCATTGCGCTTTATTTAGTTGATTTTAAATGCAAGAACACGTCCTCCGTCTCCTCTTCTGTGTGAAGGGAACTGACTTCATATCCAATAAACATCACTTCAGATAAAGCTGGGAAAAAATAACAGCAAAAGAATATGCGGCTACAGTATGTGTACCTAATATATCTGTCAAAGGAATAACTGTGACAAAGTATAGTTCACTGCAAATTTAAAAAATGTTTAATAATATGAAACGTGTTGCTTTCAGTTATGTACTGTATGGAAGTCTTAAAGGGATAGTTCACCCAAAAATTAAAATTAAGTCATTATTTTCTCACCCCCATGCTGTACCAACCCCGTAAGACCTTCGTTCGTCTTCGGGACACAAATGAAGATATTTTTGATCAATTTGAGAGCTGGATCACTCCTACATAGACTGCCTAAGGGATTGAAACTTGACGGCCCAGAAAGTCATTGAAGAAAATGTTAAATATTCCATGTGACTACAGTGGCTCAACTATAAGTTTATCAAGCGTTGAGAATACTTTTTGTGCAGAAAAAACAACAAAAATAATAACTTACTGTAATTCGACTATTCCTTTTCTTCCTTGTAGGCCTGAGACGAGAGTTCAAGAAATTTCCATGACGCATGCGCGAGAAATTTCCATGCGCGTGTTTTTTCTGCACAAAAAGTATTCTTGTCGCTTGATAAACTTATAGTTGAGCCACTGTAGTCACTTGGAATATTTAAACATTTTCTTCATTGACTTTCTGGGCCGTCAAATTTCAATCCCTTAGGCAGCCTATAGCAGTGATCCAGCTCTTAAATTTAATCAAAAATATCTTCATTTGTGTTCCGAAGATGAACGAAGGTCTTACGAGGTTGGTTCAGCATGGGGGTGAGTAATTAATGACTTAATTTTCATTTTTGGGTGAACTAACCCTTTAAAGTCAGCATGAAACGGAAGTTGCAGGAGTTTATCCAACAGTAACAGCTTCTCGAACAGGAAAAAATGTTGGGCGGGACTTGATTTTTTTCCATCAGGAATTGATTGGATTTGGATGGTTGTGGTTTGCTATTGGTCGATCTCACGTGAGTGACAGGTCGTCCTGACGCCCTCTGGCCAATAAAAAAACATCTTCAGAGATGCTGCTAGAAGGAAGGGAGGTTATTTTGATTAAAAGATTATGAGGGCACATGAATTAAAAAAATAATAATGTTGTGCATGGTTTAATCATTTACATTTATTCATTCGTTGACTTTACATTGCTATATATGTCAGAGGTCGCACGCCTCTGGAGCAACTAGGGGTTAAGTGTCTTGCTCATTGGTGTCTCGCAGTGGATTCGAACCCTTGTCTCTCACACCAAAGGCATGTGTCTTATCCACTGCGCCATCAACACCCCATTTATAATAAAAACAGCAATATTCCAAAAAATAAGAATGACAATTCTTGGTGACTTTAAGAAGTAACACTTTTTTTTTTTTGTATCCAACTCATTTTTAAGGTAAGAACCAGCGCTGCCATTTGTAACTTGAATGTTTGAGGATTCTGGTGTCATTCGTTTCCAGTTATTTTACCTGTACAAAAACAGCCTTTATTGTCATAATCATAAACAAATTGTTTTTTTGCCAAATAGTTTTACTGTTTACTGTACTTTGTTATTCTAGTTATCTATATCTACCTGTAGCGGCTAATAAATTGGAACTCTTGCATAACGGTATCGTTTACTTTGAAACTCGTTTTCAAAAATGCATACAAAATGCAAATGTTATATTCAAAACACATAAAATGTTTTCGTTTTTAGTAGCTCATGCTAATTTGCCCTGCTTGGTAAATCTGGCCCTTAATCACCAGAAATAGTATCCAAAAATCCTGGCATAATGACTGGCATAGCATAGTGTCTTTTTTCTTTTGCCTTTTTTGTTGTTTTATCAAATATACAGTACATGCCACTCAGTCTTCCTTTTTACAACACAATCTTGGACAGTTTTTCTAATGTAGCACGACGACTCTCCAGATTTCAGCCCTCAGGAGATCAGGTCCACAGCCGCCACACCACTGGTTTTTGATGAATATTTTACTGACCGTGAGAATGAAGCCAGGTTTACTGATGTCTGACCGTGCCAGTAATGAGCAGAGGCTAGGGAGTGTTTTTTTGTGTTATGAAAGGTCTGTCTCTCTCTGTTTCAGGACCACATCCCTGTGCCGTATCAGCCCGACTCCAGCAGCAACCCCTCCTCCACCACCTCCTCCACCCCTTCATCTCCTGCTCCCCCTCTGCCGCCCAGCGCGACACCCCCGTCTCCTCTGCACCCGTCCCCGCAGAGTGCCAGACAGCAGAAACAGTCCAACCTTACAGGTACCAGCTAAAAAACACAAGACTATATTATACTTTCCTATTAGATTGAGATTGTTCCCATTGAATTTAAAACAATTGCTTTTTTCTTCTATCAATACAAATTATATCATCATAATAGCTAGAGTATAGCTTTACTGTTTATGAATTTGAATCCAACATAACTGAAAAAAGACTTAGTGAGGGAGTCAGTTGCGTTTCCCGAAAGCATCGTTAGCCAAATATGGTCGCAAGTTCCATCGTTATCAGCATAGTTCAACGAGTCTGTTTTTTGCCAAAATCATTCCCAAACAGCATCGGAAAGTTGTGTGGTTGGAACGACAGCTCTCGAGCTGTGGTTAGAAACATGACATGTGGACTTAAAGGGATAGTTCACTTTGAAATTAATTTTTGGTGTGTTTTAGCTTACCTCAAGGGCATCCAAGATGTAGGTGTCTTTGTTTCCACAGTATTTTCAATTTTGATATTTTTAGGTCAGTCATATAATGGAGGTCTATGGTCACCACCTCAAAGAGCATGCACAGAGAAGTCCAAATTAAACACGATTTAATGACTCGTAAATGTAAGCACACACTGATGGCCTAAAACACGAAACGAGCGGTTTGTGTGTGAAAACGAACAGTATTTATATGGTTTTTACCTTTATCGATTTTGAATGTGGTCTCAGACTTTTGGACATTTCTGTATCCTAAAAGTCGGTATTTCTATATTCTCTTTGTGATAAACTGTGGTGAATTTTTCAGAGCAATAACACACGCCAATAATCACCTGGGGGTTTGTTGAATTTGATTGAATTGTGTCTGCTTCTCTCCTGTGCTCCTCTCAGCATCTCATTTCTACAAATACAAGCAGCAGTTCATCTTCCCTGGTAAGTGTGTCATAATTGGTCATTACCCCTACCCATAATGCAGCGCGGCATACCGAGGCAAACTTTTTTGATGTCATTTTGATGCCATCTTTTCTTTGAGACGCAACAAACCCTCTCCCTCTGTCTCTCTTTCCTCTTCTTGTCGTCTCTTAACCAGCAATGCTGTGTTCTGTAATGATGGTTCCTTTAAAGGCGAGGCCGGCTGATAAGTGCCTGTATTCTGTGGGAGGCACTCAGCTCGCTGCATGTTTCTGATGAGCGTGTGGAGGGAGGAAAGCCATGGTCTTGTTGATAGTTTAGATAGTGGCTACAGATGGTAATTTGACTGGTTTAATCCAATGAAGAGAACACTTATGTGAGGTGCTGAGATCACATTGTACCTTTAAGAAGGGAACATAGGGCCAGTTTTATCCATTAGACATAAAGGGCATTTTTTGTTAAAATATAATCAAGAAGGGTTTCATCTTTCCTGACAATAAAGCATAATATATTTGTCCGAGAGTATAATATGTTGCTTACTTACCAATTCAATAAATCAATGGACATTCAGTGTTGACTTGAGTTGAGATTTTATTCTCATTTTATTTATTCTTCTCACACTAATTGATTCATTGATTCATTTCTCAAACGACTATGTAGGAAGCAAAGGGGCAGGTTTGGTCTCAGCTTTGGTGGGGACATCCCACCCCCAAACCACCCCCTCGGTTTTTTCAGCCAATCAAATGATGGCGTTTCTTGTACTGTCGTCCTGACCGTCGGAATCGATCCAAATAGCAGCACTGAAGTTTGCTAAAATATTGGTAGGGACAATTTTCATCGTAAAATATTGATTGGGACTAGTACCTAGCGCTAGCCTGCCCCTTAATCCCCTTAATTATTTAGTTTATGATACAATGAATTTAATATTTTTAGTGAAATATGCTTTTTGAAGTTGATGCTCAGAAGTGTGTGGATGGAAATCACCTGTTTATATTTGACTTTGAGTTATATTGTATTATTAAAAAAACAATCTTGTTACTGCACTAGCATTATGACAAAGTTTTTGCTCAACTAACAAAGCAATATATTTCAGAATATTAAAATACATTTGCAGACTGAATAACATGCAGTTATTCACAACCTTACTATAACCCCTACTCTTCTGCACAATGGTAAAGATCAAAACTTCAACATAATAGAAACTCTTTAAAATGTCAAACATAACTGACATAAACATTAACAGATGTTTCCCTTTACTCAATAACACATAAAATAACACTTAATTTCAACATTTCCTCTCCATTATCAGCCACGTGCAAAGCATGCTGGGAACTAACATTGGTGTCTTTAAATAAAACCACTTAAAATAAATTGGTACCCCTTTTTCCTTAATTTTATCAGCTGTGTTTCCTTAAAGAAATTAGAAAAATGTATCTCTTGGTTGTATTAGTGAAATGATTTAAATATTTTTTATACAACACTGAACCACAATTTTCTTAATAAAATATAAACAATATTTTTAATTATCACCTTCATTTTTTTAATGAAATTTACAAGACCCATGATTCATTTTTCACAGTGTACAAATGTCTTGAATCATGAATAATATCATGAATATCATGAATAATAAAATAATAAATCTTACTGACCCCAAGCATTTGACCGGTAGTAATTCTTCAGATGGTTGTGTAGTAAACAACACAGTGAATCAGCTTTTGACTGTTGCAGTGTAAGTCAGATAGTTAAATTTTGTTCTCAGCAATGCTCCTGCATGTTTCCATGAATTTATTTCTCTATTAGTCTACAAAAATACACTCTTTTACAAATGTCGTTTTCTCTCTCAACTCTGCCTTGTGACTTATTTTTAACTCTTTCTCTTTGTAGACGTGGCCCCTGAGGTTCCCACCAGGGCCCCTCAAGTCATTCTACACCCTGTTCTGTCTGAGACTGGGTAAGTATGTGTGTGAATATATGTGTGTGAGTTTGTTGATTTGACATTTTAGGATGCATTTAAACATGATGACATCAGTCTGCCTGTGTAGAGCGTTCCAAATCAGTCTGAGGTCATAGACAGCAAGAGTAAAGTTGTGCCCTAAATGACACACTATACGCTATGCACATATACTGTTCACTATGTACTCGACCATGAAGTGTATGAATTTTATAAGGTTATTTTGTCATCCAACATCCGAGTGTGATAGCCCCGCCCCTTGCGACAGTTCAGTGCATAAAGTGCCCAACATTACATACTTAATTTTTTCTGTTAATTAAGTACAACATCTGGGTATTTAAAGCGCACTTTTTTGGTGGGGGGGATCTTAGAGTGTGAATTAGTGCAAATGCATGTAAATCAAATATGTTCATTTATCTCTTTAACACTTTAGTTAATGACATTTTTTGCATTAACTAACTACATTTGTTGCAGTGTTTAATCATCTGTGTTCACGTTAGTTAAAAAATAAAGTTTTCATTGTTAGTTCATGTTAGCTGAGGTCCATTAAATAATATTAACAGATACCACTTTCGATTTTAATAATATATTTAATAGTTAATGCATTTATTTTTAAATAATGTATTAGTAAATGTTGAAATTAACATATTTTGACATAAATATATTTTTCACTGTTAGTTCATGTTAACCTATGTAGTTAACTAATGTTAAGAAATGGAACCTGTTGTAAAGTGTTACCATTATCTATTGTTAAGGCCTTTGTGGAAATTTAGGTAAAAAAAAAAAAAAAGCTCTAATTACCTCTGGTTTTATTTAACCTAACAGTGTTCTCTGAAGGTCACATGTTAATCAGCTTCTGTTCATTCTGAATGCAAAATTAGTAGAATTCATAAAATATAGATTACTTTCTATTTACAATGCCAGCAGCCATATCACCCTGTAGCCCAAGACTGGTGAATATTATACACTATAAACTAATTGGCTTCATCACCCTGTCTCCTCTCCACCAATTAGCTGGTGTGTGGTGGGCGAAATATGGCTACTGTCGCATCATCCAGGTGGATGCTGCACATTGGTGGTTGTTGAGAAGATCCCTCTTCCATGTAAAAGCGATGGATTAATATTATATTGTTATGCTTATTTTGCTTTTTTGCCCCTTTGGATAGAGGTCAAATACCATCAAATGTGGAATTGTTATGCTTTTTGTCACTTATAAAGATACGCCAAGACCATTTAACTAGGGCTGGGTAATAAATATCGATTTCTCGATATGAATCGATTCTCATTTTTATGAACCGATATCGATTCTTAAATCTCAAGAATCGATTAGTCATCCTGTTTCATTTGAATGAATGGATCATTGTATCGCGGCTGCGCGCATCCAACAAATCGCAATAATCTTTGTCCTTTGTTACTATTGATATGAAACAAAGTCTCAATTTTCAAATTACGTCCATTTTCTTGAAAAATTCAAAAACATAAATAGCGTTTTGGCGCTGTGGCGTGAGATCGCTCTGGAGAAGCAGCAGCGCTGATCTCTCTAACGGCTTAATAATACCAGTTACAGCGCCAAATAAACATGAACGAGCATCTGAAAGTGTGTTAAAGATAGAGTACAACTTATCGAAATCCGTATCATGTCACATTGATTCGCTCAATCAGCGTTTCAACCGTGGAAAGGCGTCAGTTAAACAGCTTGTAATCAATGTATCGTCATATTTACCTCAGAAAACCCACATAAACTCGTTAGTCAGCTAGAAAAAAAATAACTCTAGAGAGGAGCATTTTGCTAAATATATACACCATATTACATATGCATTATAATCTTAATGTTCTTCAATATTTAATGCATATTTGAATAAATCTGGCAAGTTTTTATGACAGTCACCATTTAAATGTTTATATTTCATATTATCTTATTATTATAAAAATAAATAAAAGTGTAATTTAAGTGTTTGTAGCTACAAAACAGTTGTAATGAAGGCTAATGAAGCCTATAGGCTACAACTAGACTCCCATAGTTTACAGCATTAGTTAAGAGATTTGTTTCCCTTGAGAAAAATGGCCATTTATTGTAAATGATATCCAAAATAATCCATATTGAATCGAATCATAATCGAAATCGAATCGAATTGCAAGCTTGTGAATCGAAATCGAATCGAATTGTGAAATTTGTCTCAATACCCAGCCCTACATTTTACATTGTTTATTAATATACAAAAGTGTCTGAAATGTCATGTTCTGTCCTGTACTGTCTGTGTGCGTATTTAGAGCGATGCCCAGAGAAAGGCCACAGACATGTCAGACAGTTATGCCACGGCTTGTGTCTATTTATGGCAGATATGAGCATTTTAGATTACAGAATTATTGGAGCAAAAATATTTGTGGTGCAATAGTTGATGTGACTGACAAGTCACACACACACTCTTTCGCCAAACAAAGAGTGGGCTTGAGTTCACGCTACAGTGATGATGTCAACCATATCTGAGTATGTTTTGGAAAACTCAAAGACCCATAAAGAAAAATTGCCTTTTTAATGAACTGAATCAAGATGCAACACCTTCAGAAAAAAAAAGGCATTTCAGTGTCTGTAATGCTTTGACTGCAGTATTACTGCATTTTGCAGCTGAAATAAGTTGTTTGACATGGCTTTAGAGTGCACTTGTTTACAAGCATGTATGCATAAATGCCCTGACAGATCTTCCGGCATTGTCCGTCCATATTTTTCATCCCAAACTAGGGTCAAAGGCGTATTAACAAACACATTTCTTACCACAGACATGTATAAGGCAAGTCATCCAGACTGAATAAGGCCTTTAGATTTATGCAGTTTTAGACACTGAATGTCTTTTTTGTAAGTGGAAGATGATGATTATATGCTGTACTGGCTAATAAGGTCATGGAAAAGTTTTAATCCTTATACAGTATGTGGTAGAATGTGCACTCTAAAACATGATGTGTTGGATTTACTTCAAATATATATGCGCCATTTTTGCATCATACTTTTAAAGTAATCCCAACTAGGAATAATTTTACTGAAAATTAACAAGACACCCTTTGTTATATGTACTTAAATATTTGAGTTCAAGTAACATTCTTTACTTAAAAATGTATGCATTACATTACATATATTTTTAAGTGAAGAATGTTACTTGAACTCAAATATTTAAGTACATATAACAAAGGGTGTCTTGTTAATTTTTTTACTTTAAAAGTATGATGCAAAAATGGTACATATATATTTTAAGTGATTCCAACACAGTGCAGGCCACGTGAGATCAAATCAAATCTTAGTTCTGTTAACTTAACATTTAAGCTCATTTATAAAAAGAAGACAATTAAATGAGTTGAACCAACCATTTGAACTTATTTTAGATCTTATATTCCAGGCACAAAAACGTCATGCTGTCTTCTTGGATTCTTGTTCCCTAAAGTAAAGTAAAGTAAAATACTATTTTTCCTGGAATTTTTCTGTGATATTTACAGTATAGAGTTATGCAGAGTCAAAACCCGGAAGACTAATTCAGCATGGGTTCCCTCAAGATTTTCCAATGGGGTTTTAAAATGTGTTTTTTTCAATTTATGAGCAAAATAAGGTCTGTGGTAAACATAACTTGGGGTTTATAAACGCTATTATAAAACTACCTAGGAAAATCTCAAGGGAACCGGTGGCGAATTAGTCTTCTGGGGTTTGAGTTTATGCGAGGTTCGTCACAGATAGGATGCTAACTCAAGCTGTAGAGCCACTTTTGTAGAAGCTAAAAATATGAAGATGAACAAGCAGATTTTTCTATGTGATCCTTTCAGATGGCCTAAAGTAAACAATGGATTTTAATTCCATTATAGGCCTTTGAAAATGAAACATTGGTTCGTTCTGCTGAGGTAAACGACCCTCCCTGTGCAAACACATTTTCTGTTTTCTCTTCACACAGTACCAAAGTGAGTCCCTTGCTACAAATTGAGGTTGAGCCAACATCTGATGTGAGTCATCCTGCTTCTATTGCAAATGTGTACAATCATATGCTAAAACCTGGGTACAAACACTCTTAAAAATAAAGGTTCTTTATTGGCATAGATAATTCCATGAAGGACCATTAAAATCCATGAAACCTTTCCATTGCACAAAAGGCTCTTTAGATTATTAGAATGTTTACTGTATAAAAAAAGGATCTTTTAAGAACTGTTTACTGAAATATTCCTTGGGGAACCAAAAATGGTTCTTCTATTGCATTGCTTTGAAAATCCCCCTTTAGAACCTTTATTTTTAAGAGTTTTAAGATTCTATCCATCCATTATTCTGTACACATCTATCGCTCTATCATCTCTGTCTGTCTGTTATTCTGTCTGCCTGTCTATCCATCCATCTATCCATTATTCTCAGCTGTCTGTCTGTTAATCCATCCATCCATCTACCCATCTATCGTTCTATCTATTATTCTTTATATCTATCTCTCTATCATCTGCCTGTCTGTTAATCTGTCCATCCCTCCATCCACCCATTATTCTTTATATTGATCACTCTATCATCTGCTGTCTGTTAATCTGTATTATAATCCATCCATCCGTATGTCTGTCTATCGCTCTATCATCTCTGTCTGCATATCTGTCTGCCTGTCTATCCATCCATCCATCCATTATTCTCATCTGTCTGTCTGTTAATCCATCCATTTACCCATCTATCGTTCTCTCTATTATTCTTTATATCTATCTCTCTATCATCTGCCTGTCTGTCAATCTGTCTATCCATCCATCCATCCACCCATTATTCTTTAAATTGATCACTCTATCATCTGTCTGTCTGTTAATCTGTTTTATAATCCATCCATCCGTCTATCTGTCTATTCTATCTATCTATCTATCATTCTTTTTATTATTTTATATCTATCGCTCTATCATCTGTCTTTCTGTAAATCTGTCTATCCATCCATCCATCCATCCATCCATCCATCCATCCATCCATCCATCCAGTATTCTTAGCTTTCTGTCTGTTAATCCTACCCATCTATTGTTCTATGTATTATTCTTTATATCTATCTCTCTATCATCTGCCTGTCTGTAAATCTGTCTATCCATCCATCCATCCATTCATCCACCCATTATTCTTTATATCTATCTCTCTATCATCTGCCTGTCTGTCAATCCATCCATCCATCCATCCATTCATCCACCCATTATTCTTTATATTAATCACTCTATCATCTGCCTGTCTGTTAATCTGTCTATCCATCCATCCACCCATTATTCTTTATATTGATCACTCTATCATCTGTCTGTCTGTTAATCTGTTTTATAATCCATCCATCCGTCTACCTGTCTATTCTATCTATTTATCATTCTTTCTATTATTTTATATCTATTGCTCTATCATCTGCCTGTCTGTCAATCTGTCAATCCATCCATCCATCCATTCATCCACCCACCCATTATTCTTTATATTGATCACTCTATCATCTGTCTGTCTGTTAATCTGTTTTAAATCCATCCATCCGTCTACCTGTCTATTCTATCTATTTATCATTCTTTCTATTATTTTATATCTATTGCTCTATCATCTGCCTGTCTGTCAATCTGTCAATCCATCCATCCATCCATTCATCCACCCACCCATTATTCTTTATATTGATCACTCTATCATCTGTCTGTCTGTTAATCTGTTTTATAATCCATCCATCCGTCTATCCGTCTGTCTATCATATTATCTATCATTCTATCTATTATTCTACCTGTCACTCTATCATCTGCATATCTGTTAATCTGTTTTATAATCCATCCATCCGTCTACCTGTCTATTCTATCTATCTATCATTCTTTCTATTATTTTATATCTATCACTCTATCATCTGTCTTTCTGTCAATCTGTCAATCCATCCATCCATCCATTCATCCACCCACCCACCCATTATTCTTTATATTGATCACTCTATCATCTGTCTGTCTGTTAATCTGTTTTATAATCCATCCATCCGTCTATCCGTCTGTCTATCATATTATCTATCATTCTATCTATTATTCTATCTGTCACTCTATCATCTGCATATCTGTTAATCTGTTTTATAATCCATCCATCCATCCGTCTATCTGTCTATTCTATCTATCTATCATTCTTTCTATTATTTTATATCTATCACTCTATCATCTGTCTTTCTGTAAATCTGTCTATCCATCCATCCAAACAACCATCCATCAGTCCATCCGCCCATCCATCCATCCATCCATCCATTATTCTCAGCTTTCTGTCTGTTAATCCATCCATCCATCTACCCATCTATCGTTCTATCTATTATTCTTTATATCTCTCTCTATCATCTGCCTGTCTGTAAATCTGTCTATCCATCCACCCATCCATCCACCCATTATTCTTTATATTGATCACTATATCATCTGTCTGTCTGTTAATCTGTTTTATAATCTTAAAATCCATCCATCCCTCTTTCTCTCTGTCGTTTAATGTTGCATTTATTGTTCCATCTATCAGAACGAGGAAGGCAACGATGAGGCCGAGGGCTCAGCGGACGAGTTTGAGGAGATGAATCTTTCCCTCTTGTCCGCACGAAACTTCCCACGTAAGGCCAGCCAGACCAGTATCTTCCTGCAGGAGTGGGACATTCCCATGGAGCAGCTGGAGATCGGAGAGCTGATTGGGAAAGGCCGGTTTGGACAGGTTTACCATGGACGCTGGCACGGAGAAGTGGCCATACGACTAATTGACATTGAAAGAGACAATGAAGAGCAGCTGAAAGCATTTAAAAGAGAGGTGATGGCGTACAGGAACACGCGGCATGAAAACGTGGTCCTGTTCATGGGAGCGTGTATGAGACCCCCTCATCTGGCCATCATCACCAGGTAGGCTTGAACAGAATTTACAGCTCAATATTTCCTTGAACTCACTTTTCCTGATCTTCTCTAATCAGCATGACCTCATAGCTTGCATTAGTAGCTGCTTTCAGCTTAATTTGAAACGACATGTCATGGGCCTCAAATGTAAATGTAAGTGGCTGATTTTTCTCACAACTCAGGATTCTTAGAAGACATGTCAGCATTGGCATTAGCTATTAAAAACAAGTGCTACTTTAGCATACTGTCTGAACAGGAGATGGCCTATATTATTTCCTTCCTCCTGCCACACAAATTGGTGCTTCCTGTTTGTTTGTTTGTTTGTTTGTCTGCAAGCATATACTGAGATACATGGCCACGGCCAATAAAAGATTAAAAGATTGCATGGATTTACATTTTCTTTTCTTTTTCTATAATGGAAGTGTTATCAAAATGTTTGATCCATTGAAATTTCATATTTATCATCACCAATTTCAATTCCACAAAAAAAGTAAGTAAAACAGTTAAACAGTCAGTGATAAATAACTAATTAAAAGCAATA